TCCGAGGAGTGGCTGGTGGGTTTGAACCGCCAGCCTTCTGGTTAGCAGTCAAGTGCCTTAGGCACTATGCTACCAGAGCTCCCTCCCAACACTGATAGCAAAGTTTAAAAAAAAACTCAGAAAACAATCAATGCTGGCAAAGATGTGGAGAGACTGGAACCCTCATGCGCTGTTGATAAGATTGTAAAATGGTGCAACCACTGTAGGAAACGGTATGACATGACCCAGCAATGGCATGACATGATCCAGCAATCCCACCACCAGGTACACATCCTAGAAAAGGGAGAGTTGTGATATGAACAAATATAGGCACACCTGTATTTGTCACAAGCAGCTTTGGTGGCACTGTGGTTAAAGCATTGGGCTGCTAACCAAAAGGACGACAGTTCAAACCCACCAGCCACTCCACAAGGGAAAGATAAGGCAGTCTGCTTCCATAAAAATATATAGGCTTGGAAACCTTATGGGGGCAATTCTACTGTGTCCTGTAGGATTGCTATGAGTCAGAATGGACTCAATGGCAGTGGGCTTTTGTATGTTCATCGCAGCACTGTTCATAATAGCAAAACCGTGGAAACAACCCAAATAACCCTTCAACAGAGGAATAGTCAACGATGATATATACACACAGTGGAATGCTATTCAATGTTAAAGAGCAATAATGAATCTGCAAAACATGTCAGCATGGGTGAACTTAGAGGCCATTATCCGGAGTGAAAATTATCCATCATAAAAGGACAAATACTGTATGAGACCACTATTGTAAAATGTCAAGAAATGGGTTTCAGGAAAAAGGAAATACTGTTTGGTGATTACCAGGGGTGGGTGGAAGAGACGGTAAACCACTAAGTAGGGGATAAATATGCATTAACTTGAGTGGAGAAAATAAAACAAAACCTTACGAATAGCAGTGGGGCATTGTGAGGGTGCCGCAGGACTGCACATGGCATCACTCTGAGAACCAAATGCTGCCCGGTCCTGTGCCAGCCTCACACTCCTTGCTGTGCCAGAGCCCATCGTTGCAGCCACTGTGTCAGTCCATCTCATTGAGGGCCTTCCCCTTCTTCACTGACCCTCTACTTTCTCAAGCATGATGTCCTTCTCCAGGGACTGGTCCCTTCTGACAACACGACCAAAGTAGGTGAGATGAAGTCTGGCCATGTACACTTCTTAGGAGAATTATGGCTGTACTTCTGAGACGTATTTGTCCATTCTTCTGGCAGTCTGTGGTATTGTCAGTATTCTTCGCCAACACCAAAATTCAAACATATCAGGTCTTCAGTTTTCCTTATTCGTTGTCCAGTTTTCACATGCATATGAGGCTATTGAAAACACCATGGCTTGGGCCAGATGCACCTTAGTCTTCACAGTGACATCTTTGCTCTTTATCCCTTTGAGGAGATCTTCTGCAGTAGATTTGCCCAGTGGGATGCATCTCATTTCTTGACTGCTGCTTCCATGGGCATTGATTGTGGATCCAAGTAAAATAAAATCTCTGACAAGTTTAGTCTTTTCTCTGTTTATGGCTATGCTGCTTGCTGGTCCACTTGTGAGGATTTTTGTTTTCTTTATGTTGAGATGTAATCCATACTGAAGACCTTCGATCTTTGATCTCCATCAATAGTGCTTCAAGCCTACTTCATTTCCAGCAAGCAAGGTTGTGTCATCTGCGTATTGCATGTTGTTAATGAGTCTTCCTCCAATCCTGATGCCGCGTTCTTCTTCATATAGTCCATCTTCTCGGATTATTTGCTCAGCATGCAGATTGAATAAGTGTGGTGAAAGGATACAACCCTGATGCTCTCCTTTCCAGATTTTAAGCCATGCAGTGTCCCCTTGTTCTGTTAGAATGACAGCCTCCTGGTGTATGTACAAGTTCCTCATGAGCACAATTAA